GTAATAAAGCCAATCTCTTTTAAGGATAAAATAGTGATGTTTCTAACTCTTAAGCTGTATTAGGATACTTTTTCCATTTAGAAGGATAATAGTGCTAAAATTAGATTCTTGTTCTGTTTCTAGAAAGGTATTCTTTATGCTACTGCTCTTGTAAAAAGTTAACATGCTATTAGCATATGTATTAAATCTTTCTCTGAAGACTCAGCAATTAGGAGTGATGATTCCAGGAAATTTTCCAGAATATTCTTCCATTTCTAGTTCTTTATCTTCTGAGGGGAGTTCTCAAAGTGTGGTCCTGGGATCCTGGGTGCTCCCAGGACACTTTCAAAGGTTCTGCAACGTCAAAACTGTTTTCGGAATAACACTAAGATGATATTTGCTTTTTTTTACTCACATTTTTTCATGAGAGTACAGTGGAGTTTCCTAGAAACTACGTGACCCGTGCTGTTGCAGCAGACTGAATGCAGAAGCAGGTATGAGAATACAGCTGTCTTCTATTAAGTCAGACATTAAAGATAGTTGCAAAATTTTAAAGCAGTGTCATTCTCATGAAATTTGATTTTGTTTAGGAACATAGGATTATTTTTTATAAAAATGTTTTACTTATGTTAACATGGGTTTATTATTATTTTATTATTTTTAATGGATTAATAAATATTTTTAAAGCTGTATGTTTTCATTTATATGTGACAAATATCAGTAGCTATAATCTACGTAAGCTTAAGCTCTTTTGGGACCCTGTTTATTTTTCAGAGTGCAAAAGAATCCTATGACTCAAATATTTGACAATTGCTGTTCTACTATCCCCTCGTTCAATGCTCTTATATAGAAATTCTCTTGGTTGAAGCTTATTCAGTATTCAACTGATTGCTGTGGGAACTGTGCTTTTCATAATTTTAAATGTGTATGAAAAAGTTTTTGTGGCCAACCAGAACTGGAAGGTGCCCTATGGGAATCATTATGTGTGCAAGTGTGTGTGCTGTATACTGTGTAACTGAAAAATGGTAGTATTATTTAAAAAATTATTATACCAGGCAAGCTGATATTAGATTCTGTGACTGAGCCCTCATTCAGCAAATCACAAGCATTTATTTTGTTCCTACTGAATGGCCCTTACTAGGTGTTATAGAAATGAATCATATATGATCTCAACATTCAGGGAAGCAGCTGGTACAGTGAGATATTAATTACACCACAACTGACCACGTGCAAAAGTACATCAATTAGCACTTTTTTTGGCTGCCACTGTTGTGGTAGAGGAGAACTTTATGGACTTATTAAGGGGAAAAGATAGACCAAATAAACAATCGAGAAAAATATAAGACTGTGTATAATACAGTTTAGAATAGAAGTTGAATGTGTCTATATTCAGCATAGAGAGAGCAATGGGGCAGATGAGTTCAGATATTGTTATATTTACTTAATTAGCATCATGATAGCTTTTGCGGTACTCGTAATGTTCTAGTTTTTACTTAGGTGGTCGTAACAAGCACTTATTCACGTCACGATTATTCATCAAGCTGTGCATTTGAGATTTCTTAATTTTTCTGTGTATGTTATACTTCAATGAAAAAAGTACAAAAGTTAAAACTCTTAAATTTAAATTACCCCTGTAAAATGTTAAACTGTTTGCAGTATGTACTTTAAAATATCTATCCAAAGCTTCCTTGATGCGTATAGATAGTCCTCATTTTTCTTTCCTTTACCAAAGATTTCCAGTAGTTTCTTTTCAGGGCCATGACAATGAATCACTTGGTAGTGAGTCTTCAGTTTGTAAATAATCTGCTGAGGTTCCCATCACCCTCTCTCTTTCTTTCTCACTCAATGTATTATCATGTTTTTAGTAAAAAAATAAAAGAAAGTCATCCAACCAGTTTAAAAATGCATATTCCTGAAAAGTTTTTAATCAAAGTCATATACATACATAGTTTGGAAATCGAGTACAATTATAAGATTTATAAATGTACACCTCTCCCTTTCTACCTAGATCTTACTACCCTGCATAAATAATTTCCACTTTTTTTTTTAGCTCTATCTTCTGGGTTTTCATCCTTGTATCTAAATAATACATCTATACTCTTGTTACTAGATTTATTATTTTTAGACATTATATATTGTCTATACTACTAATCTGTCCACACTTTCTTCCTAATTTTTTCATTGTTATAAATTAATTAAAATAATTATAATGGTAAAACAAAGTAAATACTATTCACAGCTGAATCTAATAGAGTTCTAGAATTGCATTTCTGGAATAACTTCACTCATTCCTAGAGTTAACAATTGCTATAATCTGCCATTGGTTTAGGTTTTCATGTTCCAATCCCTAATTCTTAACAGATTTTTCCACTAAAACTCTAAAAGTCATCTCAATATTTACAAACACATAGGTTAATTTATTTTTGATCAACTTGTTTTTTTCTAGGAGCCATTCTTTGAAAACTCTCTGTCCTCTTGCTGAAACCAGATTGGTTGTTCTCTAGATTCTTACATAATTGGATCATTTTTGTTAACCAAAAATAAATAAATTAATTAAAAGAATTTCCTTTTCTCTTCTTCTATATGGGATTCTTCATTTCCTACTACTCACATCTTTGTCTTTATTTAGTTTGGCAGAAATAATTTATGGATTAATTTGGTACAAAATTTGACATAATATTAAGCCTTCTGATCCATGAATGTGGTGTGTCTGTATTTATGTGTTTGTGTATAAATTTACATATACATATATATTCATATGTGTAATCTTTTTAAATTGTTCTTAGCAGTGTTTTGTAGTTTTCAGTGTAGCTATATAACGAGTCTTTTGTTAAATTTATTCCCTATGTATTTTATGTTTTTTGACATTATTATAGATTTTAAATTTTAAATTTTCTAATTATTTGAGGCTAGTATATAAAAACACAATTTTTGTATATTGACTTGTATACTGTGACTTTGCTACATTCACTTATTAGTTGTATAGTTATTTTGTAAATTTCTTAATGGTTTTCTGTTTATATGATTGTGTCATGTGTGAAAAGAGTTTTACCTCTATTTTTTAATATCTGTGCCTTTTATTTCTTTTTCTTGCCTTATCAAACTGGATAGGAGTTTTGCCTGTCTTTGAACTTTACATACCTAAGTCATAAAGTATATACTGTTCTCTTTTTGCTTCTTTCACTCAGCAGTGTGTCTGGAGTATTCCATATGTTGTGATTAGATATAGATTATTCCTTCTCAGTCTTTATAGTATTCCAGTGTATAAGTTAATTCATTCCAGTGTCCAAGTTAATTCATTCTATTGTTAAAGGGTATGTGCATTTTCAGTTTAAGGCTATTATAAATAGCACTTCTGTGAACATTCTAGTACATATCTTTCATGTAAATATGTATATGAATTTCTTTTGAGTTTATACATTAGAGTGGAATAGCTGGGTCGTAGTGTATAAGATACCTTATTGTTGTTCTCTTCCTCCTCCTCCTCATTCTTCACCATTTATGGGTATTTATTGTGTTTAATTTTAATATTAGATGAAAAGTCAGCCATATTCTTCTCTTTCAATTCCTTGCTGCTGTTATCTGTGCTTTCATCTGCTCATCAGGACTTGGCTCAGAGAGCACACGTAGACTTTGCCTTTCTTATATTAAAAAGAGGTGCATGGCTCCCTCTCTTTATGACTTCTTCCTATTTTCTTTGTTGCCCCCTCTCACAGTGGGGTCTGCCCCAGGCTTTCAAAACTGGTATTCCTCAACAGTCTCCTGGTTCTAGTTTTCCTCCTCCTAATCTGTGTTTTTAGGTATTTATTCAAACAGAACTATTCCTACTAAAAAGCTACTCAACTTTAACCAAACTAGAGCACATTCCTTCTTGGCAGTCATAGGCATTTATTTCAAAGATCCAAGCAGTTTGGAGGGGAGAAATCCTCTCACTCATCTGGGAATTGAGTTGCTTCCTTGCTGTTTGCAGCTAGAGAGGGTCCTGTGTAAAGGGAAGGCTGAGTGACAAAACATCACTAAAATAGTGTCACATCTTGATACTAGTAGAAGGATTTCAGGGAAAATTCTCACTAAAGCTAAGATTTGAGGATTACTGGAAGAGTTCACTTACCCCTAGTTAATTTATCAGCTTCTTAAAGAATAATTGAAAAGCTGTCCAAAATGCAGATATCTATCATTGTAAAAAGTATTCTTAAAATTTTGGTGAATATTAGCTTTTTTGTAAATGAAATCAGAATTACAATTATAAAAGATACAAAATGAACCCCATAGTAAAATGGAGAATATTAAAATAAAGAATCTGATTTTTAATTCTACATATTTTCTAGATCCTAAAAAATGATATCCATATTTTTCTGGACCCTGAAAAATGATATACAAAATTTTTATTTAGCCTTTCAAGTAAAGAAAACCTAATTTTGATCCTAATATATACTGCATACCAGCTGGGGGCTTAGCATGGCTGAGCACCAGTTGCCACATCTATAAAATGAGGTTAATAAAACCTATTATAAGGTTGTTGTCGGGCTCATATAAGATCAGGTAAAATGGCCAGCATGGTGCCTGTAGGTAGCAAAGCTGCAAATGATTTTCTTTTATTATTTCAAAAATGGTACAGAGTTATGTTTTGTTTGCTTTTTAAAATTCAGTATCAACATAGAGCAACAAAGAAACAAAAATAATTAAAAATATATATGAGCAAAGTTATTACAGAAAGGACACAGAAAATTTATTTTAAAATGATATGTGTTTATGAACTTAAAGTAAAGCTTTTACTTAGCATTCAACATTTATTTCACTATTGTAAAACCCAAAGCAAAAAATCTCTTTCATGACACTCAATGAAAACAATGCACTAATGACCAATCACTTTAAATATTTATAGAAAGTTTAGTGGAGGAAGTGAGCTAAACCAAGGAAGGAGTTCCTCTGGAGACCTCAGAAGAATGTTTGCAAGCTATGCCAGTGTACCTCTACCCTGAGAAGAATGGTCAAGTAATCATGCGCTTTTGTTTCTCCAGGGAGAAGTTGGCTGTGGCCCGTCTGCAGCGAGAAGTTGCCCAAAGAAGAAGTGAGGGGGCCATGGTAAGTCCCGGCTGGTTTCTCTTGATTCTGAACCTCCCTTCCAAAGGTCTCTGGTTTGAAAGGCATTTCGTCTAATTAAGGATATCTAAGGAAAATATTTGCTTGCAGCAAACGGAATGTTGTATTGGTAAATGATGTGTTTATAATGTAGTTTAGACAGCTCTGCCATTTGCAGAGTCAGAGAAAGAGAGAGAGAGAGAGGAAAAATAAGTATTTGAGTGTTGAAGAGGATGTTCAAATGTTCAAAGGTCTATAAGTCTTAATTTTCCGAAGGTATACTGGATGCCCAGGCTTCCAGCTGGGAGTGCAATATCTATAAATGAACAATCTTAGATTTTCAGAAAAGGACAGTCAAACATATTTCAAGCTTCTCAGTTTTTTCGATGCTAAAAAACAAACAGCTTAAAAGAACACTACGATGTTTGCTAATGTAATCGTCTTTTATCCTTTTCCTTCTCTTCACTATTGGCAGTGCGTTTCTCCCTGTTCTTTTCAGCATGTGTTGTCTAGAAAACTGATGTTTCCTCGTGTTTTGGATTGTACTAAAAATCAATATGGTTGTTTTGGTCTATAGCAACTTCATTTTATAGACTCTTTGCCCAGGTATCTGCCTGTGTGCTACTCTAACATCGGAGATGACTGCTTGGGGACCCCGGTAATGTACATGTGTGGATTAACAGCGGCTGCTACCTCTGAGGGAAAAAATAACATGCCAGATTTTTTTTCCTGCATAAAACAAAGCAATAGCATGCATGCAATTTTTCAGCAAAAGAATTAGCTTTTTTTGAAAAAGAGAAGTAATGCATTTTTAGATCCCGAAGGCTGCTTCTATTTGATTTCATGAGAGTTAAATGACAATGCATCCACTGAAAAGAGTAAGAAATTTGTAAAATACACTGGCCTTGCACTTTTCCCCACAGGGAAAGCAAAGGGCTGGAGTAGGAGGCTGAATGTTGAGTGGGTTCTGGAAGGTACAGTGGCCCCTGAGCATGCTAAAATACTTAGGGGATCATATTGTTTGTTCTGCTAGTGATCTTAATGCAAAGAGAATCTTGAATGTTCAAATAATATGAAACAATTGCTCCCAAGTATCTTTGAGCAATGAATTGGAAATAAGTTGAAGAAAATGAAGGTTTAGTGAAATGGTAAACTGAAAATTTTCAGTCTAGACTTCTACTGAGGTGCAAAATGTGTAGGGCTAGGCCATTCTGCGATATTTCAATCTTTTCTTTAGGGCTAGCTTCTGTTCATCAGCTGTGTTCTTATTGAATGTGAAGAAGTGACTTAAATTATCTAGGTCTCGGTATCTTCATCTTTAAAATGAAGATGTTGAATTGTATGATTCTATTAGTTTAGTAGATCATACTACTGAACATTTGTTCATGTAAGGCTTTTATGAAGGAGAGCTTTTTCTGGTAATAACTAAATGTTACTTAAGTTCATAAAAAGAACAGATCTCCAAAGAAGGTATCTTTCTGACTCTGTCAACGAATGGGCCTGAGTTGAAATCATCACAGACAGATAATTCTATAGTCTTTTACAAAATAAAACCCCCTTTTATAACATTATAGAAGTAATTAGTCAGTGCAGAAAATACCCAGAAAACACAAACAAACAAAAAGATGATTCTGGTTGCTCAAAAAATGACTTTGAAAAAGTTATCAGTGTTTTATTACTCTTAATTTAATGATGGTAATGAGAAAACCCACATTTATGTATTGATTGATTTAACAAGTATTTATTGAGCACCTACTGTGTGTCCGGTGCTATTCTAGGCACTGGGGAAACATCAGTAAAAAAAAAAAAAAAACCAAAAATCTGAGAGCTTACATTCTACTGGTTGGAGAAACAGACATTCAGCATACTTAAGAGTGTTAGATGGTGGAAGCAGCTATGAGAAAATGAGATCAAGGTAGGGGAGGTTGGGAGTTCTAGGAGATCACTGTTTTAAATTGGGTGTTCCAATAGTTAACCACTGAAAAGTAACTTTTTGAGCAAAACTTGGAGGAGGCTAAGGAGTGAACCATGCTGATATCTGGGGGAGGAGCGTTCCCAGGCAGAGAAATCAGCAAGTGCAAAGGCCTGGAGTGCCTGAGGAACCATGGAGATAGGACGACTGGTGAGGAGTGAGAGGAAGAGTGATTATCAGAAGGTAAAGTCAGAGAAGTGCTGAAGGACAGAGGGTAAGTCATCAAGGGCCCCAGGAATCCCTGGCTTCTGCTCTTTGTGACTGGAGCCATTGGAAGACTTTGAATGAGGCAGTGATGTGATATGATTTACCATTATTCGTATTACTGTTAACTCTCCCATTCCATAGTTTATCACATCTCAGTTCCTTAGAGACCATAAGCCCTGATTTTCATTAATGTCCTTTAATTTTTTTCACCCTCTTTTTCAATATTTTTTTCCCTCTTTCCTTACCCAGTTAACTGCTGCCTTGAGTTTTCTACTTAATTATATGCTTCAGCTTTTCTGCTCCTAGGATTCATTTATTTCTGACGTCCTGATTCTTTCATATGACAGCTCCTTAAATCAGGCAGTCCTATTAATCTCTAAATTTAATTCTTGCTGTTACAAGCCAGAACTTTTGTCACTTCTGTAGCAGAAATGGAAAGCAGTTCATCACAACCAGATCACCTTGTTTTTAAAGACTACTATTTATAGTATTCTACATTTTTATCCATATGAAAAGAAAAATGGTATGGGAAAAGTTATTTAAGAAATATTTTCAAAAAAGCTATGTAATTGAGGCAGATATTTTTAAAATCATCAATGAACCTGTTATAATCAAAACCTTTAATGTAAAGCATTCCCCTGTTAAAATTTGACTTTATGCAATAAATCTCATTACTTATAAGTTTTAATATAATACCCAACACACCATTTTTGAGAAATTTATTTTATTTTTTTAGCATACTTTTTATTTTGGAATAATTTTAGACTTACAGTAAAGTTGCACACTTGTATACTCTTTAACCAGTTTTCTACTGTTAACATCTCAATATAACTATGATAAAATTATCAAAACTAAGTGATTAACACTGGCATGCTACTATTAACTAAAATCCAGATTTTATTAGAATTTCACCAGGTGTTCCAATAATATTCCTTTTCTGATCTAGGATTCAGTCCAGGGCACCACATTGCAGGTAGAGGGATTTCTTTTTAATGCCTAGTTAATACATATTGTGGAAGGAAGACGAACATGAACTTGAAAGGGAGGCAGGTCTGGATTCAAAGTCCATTTCTACCAGTTGTTGGTTGTGTGACCTTGGGCGTGTTACTTTACTCATTTTTATCAATTTTAATGCTCTTTTGTTCTGTTAACTGAAGTCTTTGGGAACACTTTCTTTCAGTGTACAAGATGTTTCATATTTGTTCCCTTTGTTCTTAATTCTTTCATGAAATAACGATCACCATTATTTTCCTACTTACCTTTCATTATTTTTCACAAACTGCTGTAAGATTATATTTCTCTTCATTCTGGGAAATTATGTTTCAGCTTGTGCTCCCAATCATTGGCTCAGTTTACTGCAACATCTATTCTTAGACTTTAATGTCATCTTAAATTTTGTTATATATAAAAAGGTTCATTCTACCTCAAGGGTATAAAGCTACTCAGTCTCATTATCTTCTAGACTGTACCTACTTCTTATTTTTCTTTATGTAAATCTTTGCAAATTCTAGATTGGTATGAAGTAGGGATCAAAAAGAACGTTTTCACAAGTTGATAGTTAATTTCGCAACATCATTCATGAAACCATCTAACCCTTCTATCACCTTTATCATAGTTCAAACACCCATATTAATCTGGGTTAATTACTGTACTGCTTATGCTTTGCCATTAACCATTGTGTATTCTTAATTGTTTTGATTACTTGAAATTTATAGTTTGTTAATATTTTGTAGGGCAGGTTCCTTTTGATCATATTTTTCTCCAAACTTGTAAAGATAATTTTACTTACTGAATATAAGAGTTCATGAGTTAAAAATATGTATTTCGATTTCAAATAATTGCAAAAATATTTTATATGTATTTATGACACAAAATATTTCAGAGAGAGTGCTTCAAATTATATAAACAATGGCTTATTTGCTGTTTTTGCTGTTTTCTTTTTTTTAATTTAGAGAAATATTCTACCACTGTTTTTTATTGAAAAGATATTAATATCTACAAAGCATTAATATCCTGCCAAACAATTTTTAAAAATGGTTAGGTTAATTATGGAAAACCTCAATACTGTGTGGTTCCTTTTTACACCAGTGATTAATTTATATTTGGGCAAAAGAAAAATATTAATTCTTTATTACTCAGCTCAAGGCAATAAGAAAACACAGAATCCCATTTATCCAGTTACAAGATTCCGTTTTCCTCTGTATCCAGATATTTAGACACTGGCAGGATGTTATCCTACTGTACCATCAGCTAAATTCATAACCAACTGTACATCCTTTTCTTTGCACAATGAACATCCAAGGAATAATGATCAAAGATTGAGATATTGATAGTTACATTAGGAGTTTGAGGGGGAAAAAGAGTTTGAAGAAGTAGGGAGATCAGAATTTTTGGATCCCCTGTGTTGGAAAATGAGGCAAACTTATGGCATAAATACCCCTCACCAGATCCTGCTCATTCGGTTCCACAGTGTGGACAGTCTGCTCTGGTGCTGATACTGGAGTTGTCTGGGTTAGCTGATACAAACTTGGATTAAAACACTTTGAAGAAGCTTCATTCCTATGGCCTATATCTGTTCATGGTTTCTAGTATGTGTCAATTTAACGGCAGGGATCTCTTCTTCTAATATCTGCATAGTATTTCAGAGATTTACACTTAGTCTTATTTTTAAACTCCTTGTTCCCTGCCTTCAACAGCATGTGAGCTAACTGTTTTTTTAGTAACTTGTAAAAACCAGAAGTCATAGTTTCGAATACCTGTTATTTAAACCAAAAGAAATACTTTATTTCAACTTAAGAGACACATGTAAAAACAGGAACATTTC